AAAAGAAAACATCCCAGCCCAGTCCAGATCAAGTCCATAAATCTGATATTAGTCCATATGTCTGATACCAATCTATAAAGTCCTTTTCAGATTCCTGAAACACATGCAATGATGTTGAATGCAGGAAGATCACAGGCCAGTGGATGGGAAGTCCTGTGGATCCAGTGGCATTGTAAGCATCTCAGCACTGGCAGGAGTCTCCACGTGGCTCCTCCAGCTTAGGGCACTACTGTAGTTCCATGTGTCTTGTCAGCTGCAATGTTTCCCAGGGAGTGTGTGTGTCTCACCTCAAGTGAGCTATCTATCTCCTTAGTGCCTCCAAATGAGGTCATCAATCTGCCACCTGATTGGCAGGCTAAACCCCACCCTTTCACTCTTAATCCTCTCTAATTGACAAGAGATTATGTAACCACCACAATCTTCTTTTAAGGAAAGAGATAACACATCTTAAGTTTACATAGAACAGTTATATAATAACAGGCAGATAAGTGATTTCATTACTAACTTTAAGTAGATGTCATGTACAGGTAAAGATGCATATGAGTGCCAAGTTGACATGGAGTGAATTTTGACAGTCAATTTTTATATATCAAATGGTTAGGCTATACGATTGGCCATCCAGTTGATTCTAACTCACTGGAAACCTCCCGCTATCCAGTTGATGGTGACTGGGAGGAACTCTATCCAGGACTTCACAGGCTTGTCAATCTTTAACAGAACAGACAGCATCATCTTTCTTCTGAAGAGCAGCTGGGAGGTTTAAACCCAACTCTTAGCCCAAAGCAGTAATAAACTAGGTATTGCTGTGAAGTTATTGTGTAGATTTATTATTCATCTACAATATGTTGACTTTAAATAAAGGAGGCTATCCTGGATCATGTGGGTGGCCTGATTCCAACAGCTGGAAAGGCTTAAGAGAATAACTGAGATTTCTCCGAAGAAAAGAAAAATTTTTGAATAGTAATTTTAACTAGTGCCCCACAGTCCCAGCCTGCCCTTCCTGTAGGCTTATGATATGGATTTCAGATTTACCTAATCAAGCCCCACAGTTATGCAATTCACAAAGCCACAAATCCAGTAAGGTCAGCCATTTCTATTCAGTAGATACCACTCTCAGACTTTCTCAGGTGAGCTCCATAAGGTTTAAATAAAATAAAATTTATGAAGGTTTAACTATGGATTGCATAGGAATTATCTGCATATAATATGGTGTCCACACACTCAAATTATAGAATGTCCTGTTTAAAAAAAAAAATCATAGACATTTAGGGTATTTGGTGGTGCAGCAAGTTAAGCTCTGGGCTGTTAATTCAAAAAGCCAATTGTTTGAGCACTGCAGCTGATCCAATGTAGAATGAGACAATCTGCATCCATAATGATCGACAGCCTCGGAAACTCTATGGAGCAGTTCCGTTTGTCCTCTAGGATCCCTATGACTTGGAAACGACTCAGTGGTAACGGGTTTGGTTTGGTTTGTGATCATGGAATTTATGTGACATATACCTGGGTATTCTATCTCTGGATGCATGTATCCACACACACACACACACACACACACTTGTAGGAATCCTAGTGGTATAGAGGTAACACATTGGACTTTTATCCTCCTGGTCTTCAGTTTAAACCTACAGCAGCAAAAAAAGGAGTAAGCCTGGCCTTTCTGCTCCCAGATAAGGTTTACAGTCTTGGAAATCCATGGGGTGGGGGTGGGGGGGTGTCGCTATGTGTTAGCACTGACAAACTGGTAGTGAGTTTGATTTGGATGTTTTGGGTTTGTTGTTTTTTTAAGCATAAATTAATAATTTACAAGTATCTGAGCAAGAACACAGAGCACCATAGGACAGCAACACACCGAGTCTGAAATCCTACACATCGATACAAACCCCCCACCCCACCCCGGGAACCGGCACTCCCAGCGGAGTGGCAGGGATAGTGCAAACTTTTTGTCTTCGCTGTGGGAGCCGGGGCTCGGCCAGCCTCTTCCTCACTTGATGTAAACGGCGCAGGCGGGATTGGGTACCAGCTGGGGGCGCTTCGAAGCAGTTCTGAGAGGAGCCTGGCAGAGCCCGGAGCCTGGCTGTCTGGGCGTCTTTACAGAGGCACTGCTGAGTAGTGTCGTCTTGGTCACAGGATCTGCTGGCAAAGGCTTCTGAGGAGGCTGTGGCTTCCAGGTTCCCTGGGCCTGCTGGAGCACAGTGTTGGTGGGCAGGGGTCTGGCAGGGATGCCGAGGGCCTGTGGAGCCTGGTGGTGGGATGGGAGCACTCGCGGAGGTTAACTGGATGGCAGAGGAGCATCGATGGCTTTGAGGGGGCTGCTGATGTTAATGTGCCGGCAGTGCAGCAGTCTTCTGGGGTGGCCCTTCGGAGTGCAGGCAGGAGGTGGCTTCCCCCTGTCGGGCCTTTGCTCAGTTGGGGGTGGCAAGCCTGTGGAGGTGGGGCGCCGCTGCTGGACCGGGGCGTCCGCACACACCTCGGTTTCTCAATGTTGTTTTTCTTGTTTGTAAACAGCACCTGTATCAGAGTTTCCCTCTTGAGGTAGACCACAGACCCGGCAGCGAGAAGGCACAAGGTGGCCACCAGGACTCCAATGGGCAGGCTGTGGCGACCTGCTAGTCGGGTGGGGCCGCTGTCAGTGCTGCCTCCAAAGCCAAACTTGTCGCAGAAGGGAGGGGCCCAGTGGGTCTCACAGTGGCAGTGGTTCCGGTTGTTGCACACCCCTCTGCCGTGGCACTGGGCCGCACACTCATGGACCCCAAAGACACTGATGTTTTGGCAGTGGCGGTTGAGGCATATTTTTCCATCCGCACACTTTGTGCCAGCCTGCGCCAGCCCTGGGTCTGGCATGTCATCCTCGAGGTAGGCATGGGTCCCCCCGCAGAGAATCCGTCCTTCTTCCTGCAGCGGGATGTTCGTTTCTATGGAAACGGCATTGGTAACAATGACTGGCCGGCTGGCACCACCTTGGCACTGAATTTTGCCACACTTGGCGTCTCTCATGACACATTTGGCGAAGGAGCTTCGGGAGTCTTTGCCACAGTTGCCGTAGGGGTCACCGGCTGAGTTGACCCTCTCAAAGCAGATCCCAGGGGCAGGATTAGCACCTGGTCCCCAGAGCGTGACACACTGCTGCTCATGAGTCTGGCAGATACCATTGTAGCAGTAGCCATCTAGCCCCTAGCACGCATGGCCGTCGTGCAGGTAGACGTTGGGTGGTCAGTGAGGACCGGTCCCTGTGCAGAACTCCGGAAGGTCGCAGGCGTTGCTGGGGGCCTGGCATGCCGTCCCTGCCGGCTTCAGCTGGCAGTCCTGGCAGCACAGCCCATGTGCACACACAGCTTCTGGCCTCAGGGTGCAGGTGGTGGCGTTGCAGCAGCTGTTTGTGCACTCCTCTGGCTCCCCACAGTCGCACTCCTCCCCTTCCTCCATGTAGCCATTGCCACACTTCTGGCCCCCCAAGGACTGCTTCACTTCCGCCAGGTTGAAGAGGCACATTCCCATGCCTTTCTCCGGACTGTTCTCCAGGTCCCGCCGGCTGCAGCTGCTGAACACCATGGGAAACGGGTATCCGGTCGAAGGGTTCATGATGCAGCCCCAGGTCTCCGCAGCCGTCTTGCAGTTACAGCCCCTCTCCAGCGTGTTGTGGTTCATCCCGAAATTGTGCACCAGCTCGTGTGCCAGGGTCACGGCCGCCCCCACGGGGCTGTCCGAATGGTCCATGACTGCTCGGCAGTACACATGCTCATGATGGGCGCCATGCCAATGGTGGTCCCTTGGAAATGCACCCCACTGACGAGCTGGGCATTGTCGTGGGCTCGTCGGTGCAGGAGCCTCATCTTTCTCCAGTCCAGGAACTCGTGCAGGCTGGTGAAGGGGTCCTGGCTTATGGAGCACTTGTCAATGTCGGTCCACACCTCCACCGCCACCAGCACAATGCGGATGTTCAGGGCTCTGTAAAACTTGTCAACGTGATTCGCGATCTCGATTAATCGCTGCTTAACTTTTTCCTGAAAACACTTCTCACTCGTTTTCATGTTAAATTTATGGACTAAAATTTGGTGGTGGTTTTCTGAGTGATAGAATTGTCAGTATTTTAATGTTTTTCTCTGTTGGTCATTTTAAATAAAAATGGCAAAATAGTTGCTTCTTTAAAATTAAAGATATGAATGATACCTTCTGTTTTTATTTGAAAGTCCCTATTCCAATAGTCTCTCTCTATTTGAACCTTTAAATGTCACGAGTGCTCTTTTCTCTCTGCATTATGATTATTTGTCTATTTTATGGCCCTCCTATTCTGCTTGCTCCAGTGCAAAAATAATAAATCTAGTACTGCTATGGGGTATACCGGATAATATTTTTACTAATTTAGTTCTTACTAATAAGATCATAACGATTGGTCTCCATTGTGACACCTGATAATAAAGCATATCTTGCAGCCCATTTCTTTACTATGAGTTCTGTCTATCAAGATTTAGTACCCAGGCTCATATGAGATCCTATTTGGTCTATTTCATACAGGACACTTCTGGAAAGAGTACATACCGGACAGTAGACAACATGCTGGAGAAAGGCCTTGAAGGAGAAAAAAATGGTGAGACTGAATAGTCCAAGAGAAATCCAATTTTCTCTTCAAGCTGCTCCCCCCAGTTAGTCACGACCCAAACAAAGGCAGACGCCCCAGCGATCCTCTGTAGTTGCTGTTTGTCAACTCTTTGATGTCAGCATACCAGTTATTTTTCCCCACAGACCGAAGCATCTGGAGTTAAGGACAACAATTAGAGCAGGTGTTGCGAACAGTCTATGAAATAGAGGAGCATGACACCATGGCAACGCCTTGCTGCGTGCCGTTGGTGACTGCATATCTCTAAGTATAGTACTTGCTTACTCACGGAAAATAGTTAATTCTTTTAAAAATGATGTTACACACTTTTAGGTACATATTTATGCACATGGGAACTCACATATATTTATATAAATGTTGCATGACGTTTGGCAGAATGAAATTACTGGATATAAATTACTGAGTTCATTGATCTTTTTACCTAAATAAAAAGGCCTGTGTTTCAGAAATGAGTCCTCTTGGTGATGTGAGCTATGCACTGAGCTGCTAACCCCAAGGGCAGCGATTCCGAGGCCCTGCTTCGCGGCAGAAGGAAGGCGCGGCTGTCTCCTCGCAGATGACTTGAACAGTGTTCGAAACCCAGAACGGCAATTCTACCTCTGCCAACTGGGCTTCTCTGAGTTGGAATCAACTCAGAGTTTGAATGATTTTCAGGATTTAAAAATAGTGGGATTAAGAGAAATGTAAGGAAAGGGACTGATTTTTATGCACACTACAATTATATGGATGGAAAATTATGAAAAATCTTAATTTTCGTACAAGTCTGGCACTGTAAGGTTATGAACCCTATCTGTGATATTCTTGATTGTTGTTATTAATTGAGGATATCTGTTTCCTTAATAAACTAAGACGCAATTATGTTACCTATAATGTCTAATTAGCATTAGTATTTTGAATTTAACTTTATATACTAGAACTCTAAACAAACAAACAGAGGCTTAGTATATAAAAACAAAGTGCTACTGGGATTTTCATGGGGAAAAAGAGCTCAGAAGAGATGCCTGGTGGTTGGAGTCTATAGATTCGCCATGCACCCTGAAAATATAGGTCCCTTTCAAAAAACAAAGTGATTAAGCGAGATTGGTTAATATAAAGAAAACATAATAATCATGACCATCCATGAACCAGAAAATAGTTTCATTTGTAGCACACAGATATAGTCTAAAATGTTTTTGAAAAAATAAGCACCCATGAAGATAATGCAGTATAAGCTGCTCTGTAGATAGAAGAAATGTTATATTTTTAAAAATAATCTCAAACTGGTGAATAAAGTATGGTTAGTGAACATTAGTCAAGCTCTCCTCTTTCAGTTGATGACTGAATCTTAGAAAACTACTGATGTTTTCTTCCATGATTTTGTTCCTCAGAATGTCGAAGATAGGCTGAGTTTAGAAAATTTGTTTGGTTCATACTAGTTTGTAATCAGTATCTACCCTTCTCAATACCAAGACTGATTTTGGAGGAAGCTAAGTATATTAAATCACTTTTAGAAAAATATTATAGTATACCATGATGTCTCCTGGACTATTTATCTAAACCTAACAATGTGCTCTCAATAGAAACAAGATTTTTTCATTTATTTCAAAGTCCTGAATTCCCTCTCCTATTGCAAAGAATAAGACACGTGGCAACCAAACTTTTCACTAAAATCCAACACCTAACTCCCTCTCTTTAACATGATACAGCTCTTCAAGAAGTGCAGCTATCTCATGGGCATTACCATCTCCTTTTCCTTCCTAATATAACCATCGAACCCTGAAACTCAGCCTGATAATTGCAACTAATTTCCTCTTAATACATCTTTCCTAAACCTGACTATCTGTTTACATTTTGTTTCTCCTATTTTAGGGTTAAAACCTTCTACTTTTGTTGGACCTTCTTTCTCAAGTCAACATTACTTAACTTAGGTTGTGAAATGTTTTCATATGATCTCCGCATATGATCTCCATTCGCAACTTAAAGGGCAGGGGGCAGGGAATCTTTTTCCCATCCCTATCTACTCAGTCACTCAAGGATAAAATCTATTTTCTAGTCTTTGCTTCCTCCTCTCCATTGATGCATCTAATGGGAGAACAGTGGCATTTTGGATATGCTGCTGGTCTGTGGGAAAAAAAATCAACTTTAAAATGTGCATGACTTTCACCCTTTGAGTAGTTTAGGTGGAAATTGGACAGTCTGGTGACAAAACATGACATAGGTCAAGTAGGGGAAACACAAGGAGTGATGAATTGTGCTAATTCTAAAATAATGTAATTCCAAATCTGCAAAAAGTGATTGGCTTCATGAATGAAAAGAAAAGCAACATATTTGTCTCAATCCAAACACAGACACCAGGACGACAAACCAGGACTATACAGTGAAGTAGCTTGAAGGATAATACACTGAAAAATATAATTGTGCATAAATCATGCACAAAATAGAAACTACAAATTCTGTAGTTGGCAAGCCTTTGATTCTTTTGCATAATTCTTTCATTTCCATCTTGCTGCTTCCATTCTCCTCTCATAGAAATAGCTACATAAAACAAAGACATAAACTGTGTGCAATTAAAATGGAAAAATAGCTGAAAGGAATGTATTGATAATTATGTTAAAATCTATACCGTAAGGCTTCTTGCATTCTTAGGCATCTAATTTGTCATTTGGTGACATCAGCATATCCGTTCTACCCAATATCTGAAGCTTTGTTTTAGGCAACATATTTCAGAATAAGAAAATGTATGTACCATGGAGTTGACAAAGGTATATTCTCCAGATAGAGTTTAACTATATCCCCTGGATCTTTGAGAAACCCCCCAGCAGTGGAATGGACTTCCATGAGAACAGAACAAGCAGTGAGAGGCAGGGCTAAGAAGAGACGAGAGCAGTGGACTGAAGTGGGTGCTACAACAGAGCTACCATATCCAAAATTGGCAAAAACTGGAGATGTAGGTAGAGCCAAAGGTGAAGATGTCTGGCTACTAATGGAAAGGCTGAAGTTCAGGTCGATGCAGATGCACCTAAAATACAACCACACACAAACAAAATACAAGTCTGTCAATCTACTGAAAATCAGTGATTGAAAACCCTAAAGTCTACTATCCTGCTATGACCCGCATGGGTTTCCATGACTTGGAGTTGAATCAACAGCAACTGATTATTCTTATTGTTATGATTATTATCCTGTGTGAAGTTCTATGTCATTATCATACCTTGAAATTGGAAGAGAGAGTGCATTGTCTTTAAATACAAGGAAAACATTGAATATACTCAGGATTAAATACATCTAGTATG